AAAAAAAATAATTACAAAAGTTGTTGGATCATTTTAAGAGATGTAATTACTCCTGTACGTGATATAAAGAAGAGCCTAACATATGTGGAATCCTAGTATAACAAATCTAACAAATAATGGAGTGTTTGAGGTAGTTTAGGAAAGAAAAAACTGCCAAAATTTGCAAACTAAGGTTTTCCATATAAGACGACAGCCCAAGCGATTGCCTAGCATTTTTGCAAACGGTCTGCTCATTGTGAAATCTGCTCGAGGGGCCTTCAAGCAATTTCTTCTACTTGCTTAGTCTTTGACTTTTCAAACACATACAACCAACTCTCAATAAAACTCCCAATATAATTCGATTTACACCCAAACTCTAACAAATCTTCACTTTGACATGAATTTCATTATTTTAATGCAAAGAATAAAACTTCACTCTTCAATAAAAAAAAACCTCTCCACGACTTCCACAAAAGCCACTAGGGGCAAATTCAATCAACAAATACCAACCAACAATGCTCAAACTTAACTACGGGGAGTGACTTGGTCATTATATCATGAGGATTATCTTAAGTATCAACTTTGCTCACAACAATATCAAACTTGTCATTGAGCCGGGCTTTCACATTTCTTATCTATCATTTATCCTCGGCTGCTATTAACATATTATCAACATATAAGAGTAAATATACAAATGACCCGTTACCATATTTCTTAAAGTAAACAAAACTATTACAACTGCTTATCTTGCGGTCATGAGTAGTCATAAATATGTCAAACTTCTTGTACCACTAAACAACTTTCCAACTGATAACACAACCACAAGTAAACATACCTCGTAAGGGATCTTCTTTTATCAAATTTTTTAACAAAATCAGAATCAACACAACTAGCTACCTCCGTAGAAGATTCTTTACTAGATTCAATACCTTTGGCAACATTCAAAGTATATTTGCTAATGATTACGCCCAAAGAATAACGCGTAGTTGTAGCACAGTTTTGGAGTGTTAATTCCATAGGAAAATGGACGAATTGTTTAAAGGATTTATCGAATTAGGATTTCGTGAATTATGTGAAAATAATTTGTCAATTGGAATGAGATTTAAATATCAATATGCTATTATTTGTGAAGTGTCCAAATTACTTCAATTGGATTGTATCATCAACATCAATAATTCATGGCTTTTTGCTCAATTAGAGGTTTTCATCCCAACTCTCTAATGGGAAGATTTAATGATGAAGATTAATCAAATTTTAATTGTAATCCTATGACCTAGACTTTTGTAAACCATTTCCACACATTTTTATTGGACTAAAATTAATAATCAACCATATACACAATGCATAAGACAGTAAATAATCCACCAATAAAGTTGATTGAAATTGAAATTCAACAATTAGTTCAATTCCACAATAGAAAAAAAATGATTGAATCTATGAATAATCTAGTAAAAGTTAAATCAATTCCAAAATAAATTCATAAAAGAAAGTCTAGATCTATACGTGTTTGACAATAAAAATATCAATTTGCATGAATAAATGATGTGAAGTTGTCAAATCCAATGAGTTCCTTTATAACTGCACCTAGAAATTTAGTTCTCCATCGAATTCTTTAGCCCAAGATGAAAGAAATTATTATAGAGGTGAAGATATGCGTGTTCTATCCAGTCTAGGGCTTAAAATCGTGTGTCAAGTTGTTTCCAAAAGAGGTTGAACCGAATAAGGAAATTAAATTTTTCGCCAAAATATTTTGTGCGACTACTTTCAGTATTTTGACCATAACTTTCTTTCCTGATATCCGATAATTCAATTAAAAGTGTGTTGGAAAGCTAATACAAAGGGATACAATTTTTCTAGAAATAGCTTTTTCCGAATTCATATGTTTACTGGGTCAAAAGTTGACTTAAATCTCCAGTTGAAAATTTGGAAAGTTCTTATGTTGTCGGAATTTGATTTGTGAAAATATTATGTTCATATTTAATTTCTTTTAACTTCTAATTGCATCCAATTGACCTTTAGCATTCTCGAATCATCATTCCATCACTCGTCTCATCTATAGAGTAATCACACAAATCTAACAATTAAGAGGGAAAATTATGATATTTTTCACTCTTATCACACCTCCCAACTTGCTTATTGCTAATCCCTAGTAATTTAATGCAAAAGAAGCAAATGAATGACTAGTTCATGATACAAATAAAATTATTAAGTATCAATTTAACCACATGACATGTCCCTTTCAAACTCAACACCACAAGAAATTAACAATGTAATGATCATCAAGATATTGAAAACACGTTTTAAATGTGTGAATGTGTGTCAAGCCATAGCCATCTTACCACCAACCCTAACACATGCAACATCAAGTATGTTTCAAGCTAAAGGTTCAGCCCCATAACTCACGGGTATCAAAATGTATAATGAGGTTTTCTCTCTATGGAGCTGAGAAAAGGTATACATTTATAACTTGAGGCTTAAATATTTATGAATAAGTAACAAACAAACATTGATCAAATAATAGGCACACCATTAACTGAGAATTCATCAATTTCTTACCACAATCCTACTTAGGATCAAAATAGCCAACGCAAAGGGTGTGAAAAGGGTTAAGTTGGGTTAAATGAAAAGTAGGGCAACAAGAATTTAAGGACTTCCAAGTATCTAGCTAGGCATCTTAACAAGTATTTCAACATATCGATCCTTTACATCAATGCATTCTTCAACGTTTCAATTTCTAACATCAATCCACCTTCCTTTTTCCCCCTTTTTTCTCTCTCTTTTTTTAAAGATTTATCACTTCACCTGAGCACTTATCAACTCCTATCACTTTTTTTTGTTGATTTCTTTTCAAATGACATTCAATGCCTACTATACACTTGAAACATAAAGGTTTGAAAAATGAATTTTTATAAACTTTTATTCCCATGTGAAGAGGTATGGACAACATAAGCGCATGAAGAGAAACGGTTATATATGTGTATTGGCTCCTAGTGGCTACTAGGGGATTATAATTATGAAAAAAACTAGTTTGAAGGCTCAAATTCAATCCTAAATTGACTATTATCATTTTTCAAGTATAATCCACTGTCTTACCACATACCGTGTAATATTATTCTCAGAAGAAGTTTTCAATTCACAAAATCAATGAATGCTTATTACAATTTTTAGTATATATGACTCTTAATCCTCACCAATTCTCTCACAAGAAAACTTGAGCAGAAGACTCCTTTAACTACATGTGTTAAACCACCATCTTACCACAAGTCTTGTATGCACAAAATGATATGGAAAATATCTCAACATCTAGACTCATATGAATAGTATCAACTTCTACTAGCATATTTTGTCATTTAAGAACATAAACATGTAGCAAATTAGGGACTTAAAAAAATTTAGACCAAAATTCCATGAAGGTATGCAATTCACAACAAAATTCAAGTTAACTTTCCCTTCAACTAAATATTGCTTTGTCCTAAATGCAAAAACATATCTTTCAAAAGAGAAAAAAAGGAAAGATTTCACCTGAATACAGAAGTGAATCAACATAAATTGAATTATAAGAAGCCTGAAAGTACTCGCTAAAAAAGGTGATGCAGAAAATAAAAATAAACTAAAATGCAGTAAATAATGCATGTGATGAAAATAAACCTAAAAAAAATGCAAAAATAATAAAAGAAAGAGAAGGAAATGAACTTTCCTTTGGTTTCCTCCCAAGTAGCGCTTTTGTTTATTGTTGTTGGCTCGACCCAATATTGCTTTTTTTAGCCCGCATCGTGTTGTCAATCTTCCTGCATTGCACCAAGCTCATTAGAGATAAGCACATGTAATGCTCCATAATCCTGCAAGTCATTAAAAATAGCACAAATATTAGCATATTCACTGTCATAATGTCCTATCAAAATTTTCGAATTCTAAAGGGAAGAGTTTAAAGGGTTGGTGTCAATAATCGTGGGTGCTTCCTCCTGAATGACTGCATCAATCATGAATATTTGATGACAATCGTCATCCTCCTCAGGTTGCTCTATGATGTAAAAGATGTTGACGTCCAGGGTCATGTTCACAAATGATAGTTTCATTAAACTATTTTTGCAATTGATAAGAGCATTAGCTATGGTAAGAAAAGGTCTGCCAAGAATTATGGGAATTTTGGAGTTAACATTTACATCAACTTTTAGGTCCAAAATCAAGAAATCAACAGGGTAGTAAAATTTGTCAACTTGTACCAACACATCCTTAACTACTCTTCTAGGCCTAATAATGGATTGATCAGCCAATTGTAAACTTACTGATGTGGGTTTCATCTCTCCTAGCCCTAACGATAAGTAAATACCATACAGCATGATGTTGATACTATCCCCTAGATCAAGAAGAGCTTGTGAAATCACATGGTTCCCGACGATGCAAGAGATAGTAGGACAACCAGGGTCCTTATACTTTGGTGGTATCTTTTGATCAATCACAACACTTAAATGTTCAGTTAAGAAAGCAGTTTTCTTGACATGGTGTTTCCTCTTCACAGTGCACCATTTTTTTAGAACTTTAACATAGGTGGGAACCTGGGAGATCACATGTAGGAGAGGTAGATTGATTTTTACTTGTTTTAGATGTTCTAGAATTTCATTATGTTGGCCGACAGATTTTGAGATAGACTTGAGAGCTTGAGGGAAAGGCACTCTAGATGGATTTTCCACTACCTCCTCACTAGGGGTACTCTCTTCTGAATTGCTAGGGTCCTTTTTATCTTCCCTAGGTTTGGGGGTTGGTTCAATAACCTTACCAGATCGAGTGGTTATGGCATTTACTTCTCTAAGATTGCTTTCTCCTACCCCAAAAGTTTGTGCCATGTGTTGCCCCCTAGGGTTCGGTTGAGCTTGCACTAAAAATTTTTCACGTTCCCATACAGTTAAGGCATTAGTTAGTTTGGACACATGATTTTTTATCTCTTTGTTTTCCTCAACTAACTGGCCAATCATAGTCTCAAGTTTTTTATTTGTTTTACCCTCTGCCTCAATAAATACATGTAACGTATCTTCTAAGGAGTTCATTAAGGATGAGGGTTGATGTGGGGATGCATTGTAAGGTCTATTGGATTGGGCATGTTGTTGGTTCTCGGACTTCCAGCTAAAGTTGGGATGATTCCGCCACCTGGATTGTAAGTTTCGGAGTAAGGGATGTAGATTTTTTATATACGTCTAGAGCATTATAGTGTTCCTCGTAAAGTCCCCTCATTTCAATATAAGTAGCACACTGCTGTGTTAGGTGATCACTCCTTGCACACACAAAACAAGGCTCTAAAGACTCAACACGAAAAACAGATCGTGTGGTTTTTGAATCCTTAGCACGCAGGTTTTCAAGTTCTGGAGTGAGGGCTTCTATTTTTGCTTTAAGGTCATTTTCCTCCCTAAAATGATAAATACTAGTGCTATTCGAGTTTGCAGTGGGTTGTGACCTATTAATACTCTCAGTGGCACTAGGTTCGGTCTAGGTATGGGCTTTTTCTGCTAGGTCATCTAAGTATTCAATAGCCTCATCTAGATCTTTTGTAGGAATTCACCATTACACATCATTTCCACAAACTGGGGCTCCCTAGGTAATAATCCCTCATAAAAGAAACTCACAACACGCTAACTTTCATAA